GCTTGAATTCAAGAAGTTTTAGATTTGCGTGGTTTTTTTTGAGTTGCAAAATCCACTTGAACATGACGCTGCTTTTTTCGAAGTTTCGCAAGAGTTTTATTGACTTCAAGGGTGTTTTGAGAGTTTTGGCTCGAAAATTTCAAAAATTGGAAAAGTTTGTTCAGAGCCGCATTGTTTACCGCAAAACTCGCTGCGATTTTGAGGGCAAGTGAGGAATTCTTGAGTGCCAACTGATTTTTTTTGGGTCGGTGCACTAATCATTTTTGAACATTTCTTGGCTCTTTGAAAAATGTTGTAGCATTCGTAACTTTCGCACAAAAAATGGTTGAACACTCTTTTTATGCTCTGATTGTTTTTGAAATTGTAACTTCATCCTCCAATGTTTGAAATAGCTTCCTCAAAATAAATTGAGAATGTAGGTCGACACAAATGAGTGGATGGCTATTAATACACATGGCGAAATGCTGGTCACTCTTTCCACATTTTCCTTTTATTATTAGAAAGGTTGTCATGTAATATTAAAAAAGGCGTTCCTCATAGTGTCTCAAGTAGAACATTTTTTCATTGACAAAATCAGGAGAAAGTCTTCAATTAAATTCGATGCAATTTGCCGCAATGATGCTGTTTAAAATTGGATTAAAGACGAAATCATTTCCAGTCCACCTACACACTTTAACAATAACTTTTCCTCAAAATGCCTCGAATAATCGTTCCAAATTAAAAAACTGCATGCAAACCTGATCGTTATATAAATTGCGTTTTCATAAGCAAACTCTAAGCTTCCACTTCAAGTAAACATATTACTGGATCAAAAGCTTGCTCCAATAATAGCCAAATTTCCAAAAAAAGTCAGCAAAAGCGAWTCCGATAGATGCGCGGTCTATTTTGAGCGAACTTGGTGGGTTTTGGCACCAAATCAGGGGCGTGGGTGCTCCAATGATCCTGGGAAATATTCGTGTTTACTTTTTGCGAAATTTGCGTAATAAAAGCAAAATGAGGCTGGGGCAGCTTCTTTAGAAAAATCTTTAGAAAAACATTTCCAGCAAGCTTTTGGAGATTTTTCAAAAATTTCTGGCTAAATAAGCAGCAAGATTCCCATCAAGCCTCCCGAATTTATTTGTATGTTTATTTATGTTTAGTGAAAAAAAAACGGTTTTAAACCACCTGCCAAAGCAAAGAGTGCATGTTTCGGGTCCTGGGCGAAGCCAAAATTTGCATCGGAAACCAGAAAATAAATTGAATTCAGCAAAGAGCCCCCGTGTCTATATTAAGTAACTCCCAGCACGCAAAGCTGCTTTACTTATTTTTAGTCGGCGATCAGATTCGAGGTTATATTCCGCACATTCCACGCTTTTCTTACCCTCAGAACCACCGCACAAATGGGCACTTTTTCACCGAACAAAAATACGATTTTTTTTGAACGAAACCGTCGCGATTCACTCGATGCGTCCGATTTAAGCAGCGGTTGGCAATTTTTTTTCTTTGAAGCAAAATGCGGATTAATCGCGAATAAACACCAGACAGCACCTACCTTTATTCCTGACGGCGCTTCGGAAACGTACGCTGTCCTAAAAGCTACAAAGGCGTCGCGGCGCACAGCGTCCCCAAAATTTCGGGAGGCGTCTCCAATTCCCCTCGCTTTATTCCCCACCAGTTTTCACTTAAGGCGCGATCAGCGGTCCTGAAAATTTCGTTTTGCTGGGGAATCTTCGGTGTGAACTGAACATTTCTTCGCAATGGCTAAGGGGGAAGCAACAAAACACTAGTTAGGATTCATCATCGATTGTTCGAATTTTTTAAATAAAAGTTTATCTGGTTTTGGTAACTGGATCGGTTGTTTTTTTGCGAGTTTCCTAAACTGATATGCGACTGAACAAGGCAGGAATTTTCAAAATGCTCCATCTGAAATTGTCTAAATTGTCGTGTTTTTCAAGGGCGGATCCAGGGCGGGGGGGTTATTGGGTTCCATGACCCCCCCCCCATTCAATTCTCCATCCAACGATGCCAAATCGAATTCTCTGGCTCGAATGGTTCTCGAGAAACTTCGAAAAAAAACAGAGTCACGTTCAAGTGGATTTTGCAACTCAAAAAGAAACCACGCAAACCTAAAACTTCTTGAATTCAAGCATTTTTTGAGAAAACTGCCAACATTTCCTTATCGATGGTTCACTTTCTAAAAAGGCCATT